CTTAAGAGGGGGTGGGGGGCGCCGCGGGTATCGGTGGCGCTATCCGTTCCTTGTCGGCGTGGTGGCGTGGTGTGGCCGCTGTGTTGTGTGTCTGGGTGCCGTGTGGTCTCCGGTTTGATGCGGCAGTGTGTGTATCTGTGCGTGTGTGTGTGTGTGTGTGTGTGTGCTTATTTTGCCTTCGTCCGTGCGATTTGCGATTGTTTTTTCTCTTGTTGTATTGCTACTGATATCTTCAACATCCTAAAAACGACTTTGGCTGTGCCCTTTAACCCTTCTAGTGCCAATACCTTTTTTTGCTGTATATACTCTTTGTTTTGGATAGTCTGAGTTACGATGCAACGCACACAAATTCTGCGCAAATTCTTCTGTCAAGCTGGTGCTCTTTGCCTGTTGGCTTCGCGGCGCCAGGTTGCTCCTACAATGGGGAATCTTCGAATGCCGACTGTTACGTCTCCACTGACGTATTCTGTTCGGTTTCACACCGAGGGCCACGGAGGCGGTGATGAAGCAACCCGTACTGGCCAGTATCTTTTGAACAAGGATGACGTCCTTACACGCGTTCTGGAGGTTATTAAAAATTTCGAGAAGGTTGACGCGTCAAAGGTTACCCCGGAATCTCACTTTGTCAACGATCTCGGGCTTAATTCACTCGATGTGGTTGAAGTTGTTTTCGCTATCGAACAGGAATTCATTCTGGACATTCCTGATCACGACGCTGAAAAAATTCAATCGATTCCGGACGCAGTGGAATACATTTCTCAGAACCCAATGGCTAAGTGAGTGTTTTCATAGCGTCTGGTAGGGAACGAGGTTTAGTAGTCTCAGAATCCTTTAATCTCTTGGGCTTGTTCTGAGCGGGAAGTTCTTCAGAGATTTTTTTTTCGTTGAAATACAGTTAATGAAAGCAAAACGCGTCTTCATTTGCTTTTGGTCCTGCCTAATTGACTGGTTTCAGAGAAGAAACAACCCTTAGAACAGCGCTGCGTTTATGAGAAGGAATAGACATAACGTGAAAATCTAATGCTTTGGCTGAAGGCGTTTTTTGCTCCTAATGTATATCTGCTTAAATGCGCATATCCTCTGTCGCATCCCTGGGTCTTCGGTTTTAGGGTGTCAAAGTTAGGTGTTTCCCAGGTAGAAGGCATTCCAATGCTCTCTCAAGAGATGTAGCAGGATGCTTGGACCGACAGCATCGGCAGGGGCAATGCCTACAAGTGGATGGTTTAATGTCTGTTATTGATACATGAGAGAACGCCCTTTAGCGCGTCAGAGGTGGCATTGGCCTCTTTCGCTTCAAGAAAAGAAGGGAAGGCAACATGCTTTGGATTCGTGTACTTTGCAACGAAGGCTGTTCCAGATACTGTATCCGGCGCTTTTGTTTTCTTTGCGTTATCAACGCATTATTCTCGGCGTGTGGCGTTGCTTGTGTCTTCGTTTTTGTTGAAATGACAGCGTCTTTTGATAAGATAATGACTTTCTAAGCTTTCCTTTTCATTTCTTCTCGCTGCCGGACACTTTTCTTGCTATTTACTATTCAGTATCTGTACTGATACTGGAAGTGTGCGGGTTTTCCACCCAAGGGAATCCTTCTCGGCTTCATATTGCTTTGGGCCAGCGTCTTCGCATTCTGTCGCTGGCGTGTTTTTGTGTTTATTGTATCCCCTTTTAGCGTCTCTGTTCCGATTTCTTCTTAAATTTACACCGAAGAAAAGCGGATATGTTGGCAATGACTTCTCCGCGTTATATTTCTAATCGCGCCACTGCGCCTAACAAACCGAATAAGGTTCCCAAAGGCAACTTACTCCGGGCTAAGAATGCGCTTGCAGCACGAGCCAGAAATGAGGACAAGATTCGGGCTCTAAACCAGAAGCTGCAAGTGAAGCAGGGCCCCGAAAATGAGGAGGATTTAACTTCAGAGAGTGATTCCGAAGTTTTTGCCTTGCCGGTGACGGTGCTTCCCGACAGAGTTAACCGAGGTATTGGAATGGCTCTGCAGAATGATTACGAAACCACGGATGAAGAAGAAGAATCGGAGTGTGAATCATCACTTGAGACCAGTGTGGAGTACAAACCACTTGACTTCACTGTTGTCACTTGGAATCGCCCCAAAGCACTCTTTAAGCCCAAAATGGTGTCTTACCGTGTCAATGAGTCAGTGGAGAGCAAAGATGAATTGAGTCTTTCTGAGGCGCCTCTTGCTGTTGAGTTTCAATACTACCACCGTCGAAGTTCACAACCTGTGCCCCCCAAAGGGAATATTGAGTCTATACAAACGGGAACGGAAGTGGATGAGCCAGAGGATAAAGAGGAGACAATGAACTCTGTTCTTATTGAGAGACTGGTGAAGCGCTTGAGGGATCCTCGCGTTGAGGTTAAAGCTCACGAATTTGAAAAACTCTCTTGGGATGATCCACGGTTTGAGGATGTATTGCGTACACTAAAGCAAATAGCATCCTACATTGAGGTGAAAGAAACAATTCTGGCAGCATCCAAAGAAGGAAGATTAAGGGGCTCCGAGCGTATTGATCAGAAGATAAAGGAAGCCATTATGAGGCTTCCAGATGTTATCGTTACCAGAGTGGATAGTAAGCGAGTGGAACGAGCGAGATCCTATGTTGGACTGAAACGGGCGAAAGATGGCGCCGAATCACCTGCGGATCCACAAGTGCCCCATATTGGCTCTAAACGTGGTGCTAAGCCTTTGGTGGCTGCTCCTGCTGGTGTTTTGGCATCGAATGGAAGGGAAGCACATATGGGCGCCCATCCTTCGAGAAAGAAGAGGATGACGGACAGCATGCTGCTGGCTGGGGAACCGGCATCGAATCGAAGGGAAGCACATATGGGCGCCCATCCTTCGAGAAAGAAGAAGATGACGGACAGCATGCTGCTGGCTGCAAATAGGAACGCGGAGGAAAAGGTGGCAGCGATGGCTTCTTGTGATGTCAGCAAGAAGAAGAGACGCGACACTTTGATGACTTCTCTAAGTTCTGTTTGCGTTGCAAAAGAGGCTTTCTTTTCCGAAGAAGAAAAACCGCGTCGCAGAAAGCGTACAAATGGCACAAGCCGTCCTTCACTTGTTATGGACGATGTTCCAGATATGGCTCCTGATGAAATTGTGGAGGCAGAATACATGACCCCTGAAGAGATGACAAAGATAAAGGCACATCAGGCGGAAGGAGTTGTAGGGAATACGAGGGAAAAAATGAAGACTGAGACACAGAATGTGGGTAAGGATAAGACGCAACATGATGCAAAGGAACATGTGAACGAAAAGGTCCCACCGTCGAAAAAGAAACGACAATCCCGACGGAATCGTAGCATTTCATTGCTGGTCGACGATATACCGGATGTGCTGGCGCACGACGATGTTACAGAAGACAATACCGCCCCACTTACCAAAGGCCATGCATGCGCAAAGAAGGGCGGCACCCATGCCAAGAATCGGCGTCCACGCAACGCCAATAATCGCTCCATTTCCTTTGCCGAGGTACTTGAAGAGGATAAGGCTGGTGAACTCATTGAGTCGTTGAAGGATCAGTCGATCGGTAAAGAAGTACTCTGTCCTGGGCCTCCTCTGGCTAACAAAGAGAGCAAAAAGGGTCGACGTTCCCGTCCTAATAACAATGCTGGTCGAAACAACCTTTCCTTCTCAGAACTTCCTGAGGAAATGACGGAGGCAATTGAGGAGGATGATACTGCGATTGTTGCCAATGCCTGTGCCCCGCGGGCCCATCGGAAATTATCGGAGCGGCAACTGAAGAGCGGGAATGCTGCTCGCCAAATTACAGCAGTGCAAACGGGAGGCGTTCAGGGTGGTTCAAAGAAGAGTGAAGAGGAGAAAAACAGACATCAATCCACTGTCAAATCAAGGAGGGAACTGCATGCGGGAAAACATAAATCACGTGAGCTGGAGTATTCATTACTTCCAGATGAAATTCCGTCTGAAATAAAGGATATTGACGGGGATTCGGGGCTAATAAGTGGGAAAACGGCTCTCAACTCATACCTTGGAGGAAGACGCATCTCTGGCGTACAGAGAGATTTGATAAAGGATGACAAGAGCGTTCCTTCAGGATCCTTACCGTCTGTGAACCCCAAAAGCGTCCGCAATGCTCGTACCAAACCAGATGGACATCTAAACCAATCGTTGAGCATAGTCCAGTTGCCAGAACTCGCAGTCAGTGAGATTCCCGACTCCACCGCAGAGCAAGCGAATGCGGCGAAGAAACCTAGGAAATCGAACCCCCCGCAGGACGTCAAGCATAAACACCGTGTGTCACGTCGGCACAAATCAAATGCACCCAACCGTTCGCATACGAGTTTCGTTGCGTTGCCCGAAGATGAAGTCCATGAAGTGAGAGAGTCTGTTGATGAGAGTCTTATCGTGCCTCCTTGCAATGGCGAACCGAAAGGTGAAATTAGATACCCCACGTCGAATGGATGGGGTAAACCGAGGAAGAACTCTGCGGCGTGCCATATGACATCTTTGGGCGAGCTCCAGGCGGGTGTGCTCGATGACAATGTCGAGTTTCCTATTAATCAACCCCCCTCCAACGCTGGAATGGTGATGAAAGGGGGTACACAGGTGAGAAAGTGAGGTCCTTGAATCGGCTTCGGTCGGGCTTCTAGAATCTCTTCACGGGCTTTGATAGGATCAGAGACAAGGGCTTGACAATAGGTGCATTGTGAATAGTGCCAAGAAGAGAGGTGAAAAAAAAGGAATATGAACATATAGGGTAACCTGTGCTGGGTGGGTGTTGATCTGTAATGTGAGATTCCTCTTTCTGGGCGCAGGTTCTTCACCTTGGAGTTGGGAGCTGCGTCCCCACACTCGTCCGTGGCGGTTGATGGTCGGGCCACGCAGAGACCGGGTGTGAACGAAGAAAACGAGAAGCAACTCGTTTTTATTATTATCTTTCTTGTTTTTTTTTGTTTTTAGAGCCCATGTTTTCTCCCTTCTTCTTCAACCTTTCTTTAGGGACTACATTTAGTACATGCACTTGTCGCTGCCTTTCTTCCTTTTTTTTTTCAAGAAGTGGTTTCATTTCTGCCATGTGACGAAGCCGGAGAACCAGTAAGGCATCAGTGCCGAGGTAAGGTATTGTAATGGCGGAGTACATAGTTTCTTGTGTTCTGCGTTAATTACCACGAGTTTAATACAACTAAGCGATATACCTTTTTGCTTTTCCTTTAGTTACTTTTTGTTTCATTGCTTATATATCTCACTGCGTTGACTATATGCGATCGACGTCTCGTATGGCTACGAGCACGGCCAAGACCTATTTCACAACCCTTTCCATTCACTCTCCATGTTCCATTTTTTTTTGCTGATTTTCGCTCTTTCTCCGTACGTGTCAGCGTGTGGCTCGTAAAGGTGCGACACACAAGAGACATGACGACCTGATTTAAAGACTGGCTGTACATGTGAACATCTGATTGGCCATCGTCTTCGGAAGATTTCTGAAGCGGGGCTGTGCTATGTTGTTGCATTTGACACGAGTGAGTTTGAGAGCTGCTTTAATTCCCAAAACAACAAAAATAACAACAAGAAAATAGCCCGAACAAATTACAGGAGGCGAAAGAGTGTTTTTTTTCTCATCGTGCTCTCGCATTGGCGACAGAGTAAGTCATTCTGGACCAAGGGGGATGGCCCCCCAAATGGGGTAAAACGATGACTCTGGAAGACTTGCTCCAGTATGTATGATGGTGCTTTTGCTTGTTCCACCTTCCTTTGTGTCTTTTTTCCCCGTTTCCATAGTGCCATTTTCTTGTTGGGGGCTACAAAGGTGACACGGAGTGAGTCACATGGATGCTTCTGTGGTGCTGTCGTCAGATACCCTGTCGCCGTGTTGCGCGAGTGATGTCTCCATTTTAGTGGGCCAACGGAGCTTCACTGAAAATGGTGAGGGTCGTGAGTGCTCGGTGCTCATCGTTTTTGACTCAATATCCTGCGCGGACGCGGATCTCATCGCCGAGCAGGTGGAGTGCCTCGAGCAGGTGCTGCCCTGCGGGATCACTTTTTTGGGTTTGCTGGTGTCTGGCGAGAGCGCTGAAAAAGTTGCCGCTTGTCGGCGGTCTCTCAAGGACTGCCCGCGGGAGAGCCCGCTGTTCGTGGCAACATGTAATGGCGGCAATGTGACGCAGTGCCGACTGGTGCACTCAGGGAAGGAGGTTCCTCTAACTTTGCTTTCCGAAAAGCCTCGGTTTGTCTTAATGGCGTGCTATTTGAGGTCACCACTGGACACCTTACCACTGGTAGTGAGAACCAGAGGTGGGAACGCCACCAACTGCGCAGTGATAGACCTCAATAGTGCCGTTCCCCTAGGCCACAGCGATATCTGGGCTTCCGCTGATGGTCTTTATGCTGTGCAGCTGGGTGGCACGGCTGACAACAGCAATGGGGGCTTGATGTGCTTGCATATCACCTTCACCCCGCTCCATTCCTGTGGACGGGATTTGTACCGTGCGATATGTGCTCTCCTACCGAGAATGAAGCAACAGCCACAGGGTGTTTTGGTGCGCGTGCCGTCGAGACGGAACCCTGCGCTCGCTTACCAGTGGATTTTTACCCCCACTGAGGGGAAGTCTTATGTCCCCTCCAAGGCTCAGTGGGGCAAGCTTAGAGAGTTGATTGAGGATGGCACAGGAGAGAATGTGGGACCATTACAAGTGGTGACGGACGGCAATGTTGAACCACCACAGGTGCCAGCAGTGCATGGAAAGAAGGGAGACAAGTCAACTGAGAAGCGGCAAGCAGGTGCAAAAAAAGATACCGTTCGGAACGAGGTGCAAGGCACTTCCTCGATGGCGTTTGTACCAGTCGCTATGATTGCTTTCATTGCCCTTGCAGTAGCATTTCTGTGGCCGAGGTAGCGCACGAAACAACGGTAAGAAGATTCATGGAGAAATACTGTGTACACTACGAGAGAATAGCCTCGTGCGGTGTTTCCTTGCACATTACCCATGAGGATTTCATTTTCTTTCTGGTTTTCTTTTTAGCGTCAGTGTGCCACTGCCTTTTCTCTTATTGTCTTCTTTCACCCCTTTCTATGTTTCGGCTACCGGTGTGAACCTCTGGGCGATGAGGAGAGGAAGACGTTTACCTGGGAGAGATGGGGATTCTAGGTCTTTCAAAGTTACTCTATGATCGCTCACCCACTGCCGTAAAGGAGCGCGAGCTAAAGTGCTACTTTGGCCGACGTATCGCCATTGATGCTTCCATGACGATATACCAGTTCCTCATCGCCATGAAGGGCTTTCAGGATGGGCAGGGCGTGGAGCTGACCAACGAATCGGGAGAAGTCACGTCACACCTGAACGGTCTCTTTGCCCGTACGCTGCGGATGGTGGATGAAGGCCTGAAGCCCATCTATGTCTTTGATGGCAAGCCGCCCACATTAAAGGCATCAGAATTAGAGAGCCGGCGCCATCGCGCCGAGGAGGCACAGCAGCAGTTCGACAAGGCCAAGGAGGAGGGGGATGATGAGGCGATGGAAAAAATGAGCAAGCGGACGGTGCGGGTGTCGAAAGAACAGATGGAGGAGGCCAAAAAATTGCTGCAGCTGATGGGCATTCCCGTTGTGCAGGCGCCGTCTGAGGCGGAGGCGCAGTGTGCGGAGTTGGTGAAGAAGAACAAGGCGTGGGCTGTGGGCACGGAGGACATGGATGCCCTTACCTTCGGCTCCTCCATCATGCTGCGGCACCTGACGTACAGTGAGGCCAAGAAGCGTCCTATCGCTGAGTATCACCTTGATGAGATCCTGGAGGGTGCTGGGCTGACGATGGAGCAGTTCATTGACCTCTGCATCCTACTAGGTTGTGATTACGTACCTAAGATCCCTGGCATTGGTCCGCAGAAGGCGTGGGAGGGCATCAAGAAGCACGGCAACATCGAAGGGCTCCTCGCATCCCTCGACACCGCCAAGCACCCGGTGCCGGAGGGGTTTCATTACGAGGAGGCGCGCCAGTTTTTCCTCACCCCGGAGGTAACACCTGCAGAGGAGATTGACATTCAGTTCCGCGAACCAGACGAGGCGGGGCTCCTGCAGTATCTAGTGGAGGAGAAGTTGTTCAACAGAGACCGCGTTGTGAAGGGGATTCAGCGGCTCCGCGATGCCCTGGTAAAGAAGTCCCAGGGCCGGCTAGATCAGTACTTCACCTTCAGCAAGCCGGCGACGAAGCCCGCCGCCGCGGAGTCGACAGCCGGGGCGAAGAGGAGCCGCAGTGCCGTTGCCTTATCGGGGACGCTCCTGCGCAAAGGGTCCGCTGGACACAAGCGAGCTGTGAAGAAATAAATCTCTCACACATACAGCAGCAACCCACGCATACGTACGCATACACATATACACATTGCTGTTGGGAGCGAACCCCCTCCCCAATAAAAAGAAGGAAAAAGAAGCGCTGAAACCCCAACTTTGACCCCTTAAGGGAAACAAAAAGAAGCGATGAGATGCCATGGCGTTGACTCTTGGAATATTTTGTTGAATTGAGTGCGTCCAGAAGGAGGAGAAACCAAAAACAAAAAAAAAAGAGTGAGAAAAAAAAAGACATCCAAAAATAATAAAATAGACGTATTCTTTCCAACAGGTCGTTGTTTTGCAGATTACTCTCTGAATCTCACTCTATCTCTCTTCCGTTCACCCACATGCGTCTAAATGTATTCGCGTAGGGGTTGTTGGTTAGAAAGCTGGTGATGTCAGGGGCACTTGGCCGCGGCTCGTACCGCTCTGTTGTGGCGGGGACGCAAAATGCACCGCGACGGTTGACGTTCTACCCCTGCACGTACGAGCTGATCCAGCTCCACAAGGCACATCGAGAGGTGATGCGCCACTTCTTGGTGCGGGACAAAATATTCGACAACAAATTTCCCGGAACGGCGCTCGCTAACGGTCTGTTCAAATTTGTTCCTAATCGGCGTGAGAATTATCACATGCGAGAGGTAATGGAGTCAATCCGCCGCCGTGCGATATGGATGAGTCGCATTCAGCGGCAGCGAGCCCTCAATGCGAAAGTGGAAGAAGCCTTAGAAAAACAACATGGTAAGGAGGCAGCAATGGCCATGCTCTCCTTCACCACGCCCGACTCAGACGCTTATTTCAATCCGCAGCGGTACCAAGGTGTTGCTAATGCTTGGCCCAACTACTGGCAGCACCCTAGCGCCTCTCACGTGGTGCCGAAGCCGCGTTGGTGTCGCGTTCCGGAGCTGGGGGGTATTACCCGTGTGCAGGATCCACTGACGGAGCAGGCCAACGACTACTAGCTCAGCACAGCTTTGGGTGCCTGTTGGAGAGGGTGTACTCCGTCATGCGTAGCGATACCACTTCATCCTATAAAACAACAAAAAAGAAAATTGTGTGGGTGGAGCTTTTACATTACAAATAGTCCTGTCTCCTTTTTTTTGTTTCTTTTCCTTGGTTCTAATCTCCCTGTCTGCCGGCTGCGACATGGCTTAGCTGAACCCTGGCAGCAACGGGGCCCGAAACTAGGAAAAGGGGTTAGGGGGATCTAAATGGCATGTCGGCTGCTGACGATGGCATTGCGGACTTTTGGGCCTGGTGCACCCAAAGTGGCGTAGTGAGCAAGAAGCTGTCTGTGCGAAGGGGCGTGCACGAAGCCGTGCCGCAGTTGTCACTCCACATGGGCGAAGCAGTGCGCGCCGGCGCCGTAGTGGTCTCCGTGCCGTACCTCGCTACGCTCAACGCACAGACCATCAGGGGGGGCATGCGGCCGGCTGCTGTGCCTTCTTTCCGTGCGACATGCGCCTTCTTGACGCGGCGTCAGCGGATGGACGTTGCCACGGCAAATTCCTTGTGGCTGGCGAGCTGCTTGGCGTGCTACAGGCGGCTCCTTGCCCAGGGCCATGCTATGAGTATTGCACCACTGCTCTCGCCAGCGCTAATGCCAGCCTTGCCTTCCCCATTTGTGGCTGCACACGCCGGATTTTATCCTGCCATTGCCGCCGCCTTGCCGAGCGGGCAAGACGACGCGGTGGTGGCGTCATTTCTCTCGACACTGGGGGCGCAAGCTGAGGCTCAACTGCAGCTCACGCACGCTGCGCTTCAATTTTACCAACACCGGCGGATGTCACGTGTCTCGCCGCGGCTCGTGCCTACCCTTGACGAGCTTCGCATGGCACACCGTGCAGTGCTGCAGCGTGGTGTGCTCTTGCCTTTCGACTGCGTTCCATCGTCGCCAGGCGATTTGGCAGACTTGTTTGAGGAGCGGCCGGATCTTGATCTCCTGCCAACGTTTGTCCCACTCATCGATATTATTCGGAGCCCCACTGCATTGCAAACACCAAAGGGTGAAAAAGTGGGCGACAACACTGCAGCAAATTGTACTCTGCACACTTGCACCCAGGCCAATTTTATCTCGTTGGGGAGTCGACGGCGCGTAGTTGTTGAGACTGCGCCGTTGTCTAGCCGTCGTATTGTGGTGTGTGCCGCGAGCGATCTAAAAGAGGGTGAGGAATTGCTGCTGGACTACGGGCCGGGTTGAGGGCGGTGGCTCCGCCTATTTTTGTTATTATTATTAATTCCGTCAGCTGAGGATTCTTTTGGACTACAGCAAAAGTGATGGCGGTGATGGTGAGGCCGACCTTTATCTGATGTACCTGTGTGTGCACCTCTGCTGAGAGGCGTGCGTGGAACGTAGTTTTTTTTTTTCTTTTCTTTTCCGGTAGGGAGCAAAGAGTATTCACAAACGAACAGGGAAACATTTGGACCGTGCAGGTTCATTAATAACCGATAAAAGGAGCTCAGACACCATGGATGAGAATTCAAGGATTAGGGTGTGGGAGACAACGACGGGCTACAAGAGCACCGCAAGAGCGATAAAGGCATATCGGGAGCGCGATGTAGAGATGTCTCGGCTAGAGCACCAGAAGCCGCTCCCCCACGCCGAGTACCACAGCTCTACCGCCTCTGATTACATCAAATCTGTGGTTTTTGGCGGTTTGGACGGAATAATGACGACATTCGCCATTGTTGCCGCGGCTGTGGGTAGCAACAGCACCTTCGCAAGTGTCCTCATCTTTGGGTTTTCCAACGTTATTGCGGATGGTTTCTCGATGGGTTTTGGTGAGTATGTATCGGGGGAGGCGGAGCGGGAAAATGCCAGGGCTGAACGCCGTCGGGAAGAATGGGAGGTGGAGAACGCCTTTGACATGGAGGTGGACGAAATGGTGCAGATTTACGAGGCAAAGGGCCTTTCCCACGAGGATGCCACGACAATTGTCAACATAATCTCAAAGGATCCGAAGCTTTTTGTGGATTTCATGATGACAGAGGAGCTCGGACTTATTCTTGACCTCAGCGATTTGCATGGGCCCAAGAAACAGGGCGTTGTCATGTTCGCTTCTTTTCTTATCTTCGGTACAATCCCGTTGCTGGCTTACGTTCCTGGGAAGGGTAAAGGAGTGGATGGCGTCTTTGTGGCTTCCTGCTTGCTGGCAACATGTGCGTTGGTAGTGTTGGGATCGATCAAAGGCTACTTGACGGGCATAAATATGATGTGGTCAGCCGCATTAATGGTTTTCAATGGCGTGATCAGCGGGATCGTCAGTTTTTCGGTCGGATTGGCGCTTGAGCGTTTACTAAGTGCGGAGATAGGTGATGCGGTGTAGAAGTCTCTGCCTGCCGTGTCCCAATTGTGAAGAGAGAGAGAGAGAGAGAGAGAGAGAGAGAGAGAGAGAG